TGTAAATCTCTATACATCAAATACAGTACTTAATTTTTAAAATTATTTTTAAATAAATTTTATATTTTACTTCTGATTTACTGAGATTTTCTAAATATTTTTCTTATCTTCTGGAGATTTTTAAATATTTAACACAGTCGAACCTCTAACAACGGCCACTATAAACTGCGATCATTTTTTCAGAAACTTTTTTTTGAACAAAAAGTGCGCACAAAATAACCTCCAGACAGCGGCCACCTTGTAAGAACGGCATTTTTTTATGTTCTTATCAGTGACGAGATTTGACTGTATTTCTTTTACTTATATTTAAAAAAATATTTTACTGTTAATATATGTCAATGATAAAATAAAATTATTTATTTATTTTTGTTATATCTGTGAATACATAAACGATACCAGAAAAATAATGCTTAATATTTTTTATCTTTTAATACATCTGTTTCTATTTTTATGTATTCAGTTATGAAGCTTATTTATAGTTTTAATTATTCAGCATTTATCGAAGGAAAATGTTGTATTATGTATGTTTTTAATTTAATATTTTATTTTCATATATCTTTATGGTACTGCCTGCAGGCGAAAGATAACTTATTAACGCGATATAATAACTCAATCATTAAATTACAAAAAGGTTAAACAGTAAAATCACTGTAATTCAATAAAGATGTATGATTTAGAATGTAATGGGATAAGGCAACACAACAGAAGGGGGAGTGCCTCCCGGGAGGACTTATTACAGGAAAATGACTCCTGTTTAAGTGTTAGACATGAAGTATACCCGTAAAATTCCACGTGTCAGCACATTGGTCGGGCCCCCGACCAACCGACTTACAACCGACTACTAATGTTCAGTTGTTTTATCCACTCGGCCACTGGTGGGCGTAATTCAATAAGAAAAGCACAAAAAATATTTTTGCATATTTTCTTAAAATATTTTATACTAAAGTATAAAAAGTTCTTCTCGGCCATCGATCGAACAGCCCTGTTAACAAATATTTTCTAGAGGTCTCCAGACTTTGTTTTTTTTTATTTTTTAAATCTTTTTTAATTTGAACTATAATTTTTTTAGTTAGGCTATAACACGAAGTAAGTTAATATTAGGCTAATAACAATAGTAACAATAGGCTAATAATAGGCGATATAGGCTAATATTTTAATTTACCTTGTATACACATAAACACGTAAAAATATACGTGTTTATGTCTGTATGTATATATTTATTTATTTAATGTTTAAGTATACATTTAATAAAATTGTTTCGGTTTATTATAGTTTTATCAGTAAATTTATTCAGTGCCAAATATGTTTTCTGGAAATGTTTTCCTTTGATGAGATATCCGACGATCTCTTCCTTAACGCAGCAATAGTCATTTAATAAGAATATTAAACACCTCCGAAGGTAGAAATGGTAAATTATAAACGACCGGTCGATGTTGTCATTACCATAGATATTAGCTGTTGGGCCGCTAGCCAATATATTAACACCACTCAATAGCAACTATGCATATCAATCAACCAAATCGGTTTCCGGATAAAATTCACGAAGGAGGAGTATTATTTATATTCTCATTAGCGATGACTTGTCGCATTCATTCTCATTAAATATGCCTTATTCTTTCATGGATTTAACTTTAAATCTTGAAATGATTTATCGATGAGAAGTTCTTTCTTCAATTAATGTTACTTGGATCTATAGCGCATAAATATTTAACTTACTTTTTCCTCTTACAGAAAAAAATTTTTTTGATTTATATTTTTCTCATCAGAGAAGATTTATTTAGATGAGTGATGCGTAAGAGCCTTGTTATTTGATCAAATTTTAACCTGTAAAAAATAAATTTCAAAAAGAATACTTTCCATATAGCTTTATTACTGCTGAAAAGAAATTTTATACGAGTGTAGATAATGAAAGGTATAAAAGTTAAAATATTATCGTTCGGAGAATTTTGCTTTTTTACGATTTAAGATAATTTTGTGTATAGCTAAATAATATTTAAACAGAGAATGAACATATGTTTAAGAAGGAAATAAATGAGTTTGAATTTCATGTAATTTTTTTTTTTTTTTTTAATTGTTTCAGAAAATTTATT